CCAGCACAGCAGCTCTTGTGTTTCCACATCTGCACTGCCAATGAGTCAGAAACCTGTATCAAGAGGACAGTAAACATCAATCCAATTTCTGGCTCTGAGCTCTATTCAAGTCTGAATTTGGCACTCTGTATACCACGAGATTATGCTGACCCAAAACCTGCTCTCAGCATGTCTGGACAAAACTTTCTGATGAGAGTGACATACCAAGTACCTATTATTTTTGTTTATTTTTTAAAACATGCTATGCTTAGGGAATGGGTTAGACCACACGGTTCTGGAATCCGCAGCAATGTTATTAAGGAAATAGAGAAGAAGAAAAACCTTTCTTACCCCAATGAACAACAAGAGTAGAAACAGACTGTGACAGTTTCCCAACATGTTGTCAAGAGAATTTAAGTGCAATCCTGTGTGTGTGATACTATGGGATATTAGGGACAAAACCACCTTGAATTTTGGGAATGCCATTTTCTTTGTAGAGCAGTTTACATGTTATGACCAATTGGAAGTGTCCCATTTTTGGACCTCAGAAGCACATGAGGGTGCCCTGCACAGAAGTATATACTCAATGGTTAATACTTTCTCTGTGTAGGATTTCCATGGTAGGTGCTCTTCTCGAAGGACTATCTCTTAATACTGACTGGGAAACAGGGGTAAGCAGTTTGGGGCCCCATGCTCTTCCTGTTCCCAGCGTTCTTTGGTAAGGGGAGGTTACACAACAAAGCCCTCATCCCTTATTTTCCACATTCTTGTGCCTTGGGATCTATACTCCATTTCAACACAAATCTCCCAGAACATTTTTTTCTGCTGACAGAGAAAAAGCAGAACAGTGAACAAAATGCCTTTCAGAGTCATGGCCTCAGCCTCCCCCCACAAGCCCAGGGAAGGCCAGGGAACCTTGTTCAGGACTGGGGTCCTTCCTTCCTAGTCCCCAGGGAGGCTTGTTTCATCTCTAGCCTCAAATACTGTCCTACAAACACAGCCACTACTGCTGGGCTATTAGCCCTGTCAGAGATTTAGCAGGAGACTCATCAGCCATTAAATCTGACTCCTACCAGGTCAAATCCAACTTGCCCTTCTGACAATACTGCTTAAGCAGCTCATAAAACAGTATTCCTACTTGTTATACTACTTGGACAAACAACATCAACTGTTATCTACAAGAACACTTGCTTATTGACTTAAAAAACACCCAACAAACAAACATAAAAAGTAACATACCATGAATCTATACATTCTGATGAGCCTTTCAGTTCCCCTTTTTTTCAGAACTTTAGAAGTGCTCCTAATGTGTTGACTTAAAACATTCAGACACCTAAATCTTTGCCCTGTGAAGCAAAGCTGCTGGTTTGATTTGATTTGCAGAATAGTCTCTCAAGGCAACATAATTCTGATTCCCCTGCTGATAGAAGCCAGCACAACTGACGTCTAGATGAAATGGAGTAATAAACATAACAGACAATGCTTATTAAAGAATCAAATAAAAATCTGAATACATCAATCAAAAATAAGAACACGACCAATATTTTCCAGCAATCCTTAACTAGGCAATGAAGAGACAAGAGCAGGCTCAAGCGGGAGGTTGCATAGGGCAGCAACTGTCCTTTGTGTTTTATGAGTCTGCAATGCCTGCCTCAGCAGAGCCCAAAACCCTGATGGGGGCCATTAAGCAATACTTCAGTAGAAAGAGAAATTAAACAAGTAATACCCAGCTACATACTCATGCACACAAGGTATTGTCAAACAAGTTTTATGTAGTGCTGCAAAAATGCCAGTTGACTTCAGCAAGAATCAAGGGCACACAGCATTTTGTGAAGAGGGTGCACAGTCATTTAAAATATTTTATCTGCAGTAATCAAAACAAGTTATAGCCAGGCTACAGCTATATGTCTAGTCTGAAGACTGCTTGTCTGTGCAAGAGAGAACCATCTGGATTTACTTTATGGTTAACTTTAATATATATATAAATATATATATATATATAAGGTTTCTTAACTTTTGCCAAACAACTGGAAACATAATGGTTTCTGCATGCTGTTAGCATCTCAGTACAGCTGCAAATGTCCATTAGGCCAATCTTATATAATTATATACTTATTCTTCCCATGCAATTGTTAAAACCCCAGCTTTTCCAAATAATAGCATATTTTGTAGCGAAGAGGAAATCTTCCAGTCCACCAGGTTGGGATGGGGGAGGGAAGTCTGCTAAAGCAGAGCTTTACTCAAAGCTTTTACTTTAAAGTAACATAAAAATTTCAAGCCTTAGAAAATAAGAGTGTCAGATTTTTCCAACTGTACCTCTAGTGTGGTCTGGACAGAAATCTGTCATTCCTCTCTCTTCTCCTTTTCTTTACTCAGTGCTTGTTGAAGAAATTCAGTCCTCCTAAGGTTTTTTTTGCCCTCCCCCATTTTTAAACTTCTGTTCTCCCCACTTCCCACTTCTTCCCTCCCTGAATGGGCCTTTAGCTCTCAATAGCTTCCACACTCTGTACACCACAGAAACTGCCACTGAGGGAGCTGGTCAGTGACATTTTGGCCAGACTTTCTCACTCTGTTTAGGTGTCATCTAAGCCTTTCTATCTAGAACATCATCTCTGAATTGGAGGAATTGTCTTTTATCATGCATCTGGATAGTGCCTGGCCTATTCTTGGTTGGCTCTTAGACACTTTCAGAATACACATGAAAAATAGAGGGATAATGAATTTTTACCCAGGGTCATGTTCTGGGCTTGGTGCAGTTGCTTTGGTTAGACAGGCACACAGGGCCAGTGGGTGACCACAGGCAGGAGCAGGGACCTGCACACTGAGCAAGAGCAAGATGAATGCATGCAAGGCTGCTGGAAGGGGGAGTGAACTGCATGTTCAAAGCACCATCATCAGCTTAGCCAAGGTTTTCAGAAGTGTCCAATAACATGGCAAACATCTGCTTTTAGGAGCCCAAGGCAACTATTCAACTTTCCAGAGGGTAGGTGCTTACCTCCTCCAAAATAAGAGCCTTCCTGGGGTGTTTTCCGTGTGTCCAGGCTCCACAGCACTGTAAGTCACTGGACCCTCACAGAACATCTCATCAGCTAGCATGTTTTATTTAACAAGAGCAAAACTAATGGAAACACACACACTAATGGAAACTGGTGCCAAAAATAGAACATTATTCCAGGACTAGAATGATCCCTCCCTATGCATTCTTGGGACCCTACAGAGAGGGGGGCACAAGGGCTCATATTGTTTTGACAGCCAGGCAGACAAACAAATACTTCTGTTTCAACTTAATATTCTTGGAATTCAACATGCCAGCCTGAAAAAATAATACCACAAAACACTGTCATACCATCGATCTGACATCAGAAAGACAACCTTGGGGAGTGACAGCCCAACAGAAGCTACAGACCACTGCGTATCCCCATGCTGCACCACCCGCAGCACACAGACCTTCCATTGCACACCTCACAGAGCAGCCTCCCACACCAGCACTGCTGGTCTGCTGTATCATCTTACCCATATTCACCCATACTGGGTTGCCTGCAAGGATAAAAATAAACCAATCCCTGCTAGGTTCTGTTATATGGGGCCTGTATCTCTTTCTCCACAAAGTTTCTCTGTTACCAGTATAGAATTAATTTGCACAACAACCTTCCAAGGTAACTTAGAAGACACAGCAGGTTTCTAATATCTAAGCTCTTTCTCATTTTAAGAGCAACTATCTGAATAATTGGCAGGGAGGAGCCTGGCTGCTCTGTAATACAGAGACTTGGCTAGAGTGATGCTGTTAGCATGAAACAGCAGCAGATCCAATGGCCAGAACTTGAACTGAAACTGTTTGTTATTACTTCACATCTGTATTGCAGTATTAGACACAGGCCATGACCAAGTCTGGTCCTGGTCCTTCTGGGATGAACTTTTATCTGTTATACAGGCAGGAGATGATGAAGGTAGTTGGAAGGATTTGAAGTAACATTAAAAATAACTGACAGAGGAACTTGTGTCCCACTGAAAATTAATGGCACCTACCATGGGACTTGCATACTTCAGGAAAAAATGACTGGCCAACCTGAAACGTTGGTCAAGTACAGGCACTTGCATTCACTGAGGATTGCTCCTGTTTTTGCAAGAGATGAGAAAAGGTCCACAGTGGGTATTCATCAATAACTGGCTGCTTTCTATATGTTTTTAAGGGGGGTGAAAGTAGGGAGCGCTGTGAGTCCGAAAGACAGGCAAGCAGCACACGCAGGTCTGCTCAGAGGGACCATTCTCAACAGAAGGGGCCAGGAGGCTCCAGAAAGCAGGTGCAGAGACCAATGGGCTACTTCCCGGTGTCATGCCCTCATGCAGACTGACCCCTTTGCCTCCTTCCCCAGCTCCCTGGCAGAAGGCGATGGATCTGAAGAATTTGCCCTGAGAAATATGGATACTCAAGTGACAGTTGGAGCTTCATACGTCATTGGAAGCCTGGCTCTAGCAACACCAAATTCACATTAATCTCAATGATGTTGTCCAAGTTGGCAACACTGAGGCTTGGTTTGCTGCAGAACAAATGCTTGGAGAGAGAGGATATTGTGCACCAGCTTCTCTCATGAACATTGATCCCTCTAGCAAACAGCCCTGTGGGCTAATAAGGTCACCACACTCACAGTGGACAAACAGCTGGAGCTGAAGAAGTGTGGCTCTGACACTGGGGAAACCAGATTTGACCTTTGATCAACCTAAGTAGGGGAAGATGTCTTAATGGTAGTGAACATACAAGAGATGAGGGTCTTGTCAGGCTCATTCCCACTGCCCTTTGCTGTGCCAGTGCCAAATCACTTGTGCACAGCATGACAGAAAACAGCACTGCAATGCTCCTAACCCACATGCAGTAGTAAACATAGCATGAGGCTTGACAAAGGACAAGAAGATAAAAGATGAGTTTTATTACAGTCAACACACAGGATCACATTATCTTAGTCATACCAAGGCTGGGTAACTAAATCACCAGGTTTAATGTTTCGGGTCACATCAGGGAATAGTTTTACCAGCAGATGTAAAGATCGCCCTTTGGAGTGGGTAGTACTCAAGGTCAGAGGCAGCAAATCCTCCTCTAAAAATAGACTCCAGTGGCAAAGTTGGTAAGATTTCTTTTGTCGTTCTGCCACACTTAACGGGACCCAGCTACCCAGAGCACCCACCTAAGGTTACAGGTAAGGCTAAGCAATATACCTTTTCTGCTGTACTTCTTGTGCTCCTTTTCCTCCTTTTATTACCTAGTTTACTAAACTAGGGAGAGGACCAAGAGCTGGCAAACTTTCTAAGGTAACTTATAACTTCACAAGCTTGTTGCAGAGATAAAAAAGGTTTAAAACTACTGGAGAGTCAAAACAGCTGTTAAAGTATAATTTTTAGGTTTTTAGTAAACCAATCGGTCATGTTACAGAAATGACTTTATAGACAAGGAAATGAGGTGCCAGAAGGGTATTTATCTTAAAGATAATTTCAATTTAAAAGTTAGGAATAAAAGTGCAGTTTTTCAAGCTTTTGTAACATCTGTCCCAGAACATTTTGCTTATTTTTTGCTAATTACTCCACCCTCCAGTCAAATCTAACTTTTCCAACTGAATTACAATTCTCTCAGATGATGCTGTGTTTTAAGTTTCTTTGGGCACTCTCATAATATTTAATGAAATCTCAGCATAATCTGTTTTACATTAACCAGTTCAGTCAACAATAAAGAATGAGGGCAAAAAATAAGTTTTTAAAGAGTCATCAGTGGCTTAGAAATTCATTGAAATAGCTGGTTAGTTTTGAATATTCACAGCAGGAGGGGCTGGGAAATAATTTCACAGAGGCTATGATTTCTCTAGTTTCACTGTTTAAAGACAAATGCATTGGATGAAACATTTTACAGTCCCTGAACACTTCCAGCATAAGAATGCAGGGTAAAATAAAAGAGCTGAAGTAAATGACAGTTTTTGCTGAAGCCTAGGACAGTAAGAAGGAACAGAGGATTGTGTTATTCTTAAGTATACTTGCAGGTACCCCAGGGATTTCCAGTTCTGGATGTTCAACACTTTGCTTAATTGTTTCTGGGCTCTTTTAGAGAAAGATTTATTTTAAAAGGACTTACTCCTCCTCCCCCCCCAAGACATATTTGTACAAAATTAAGTTTTTTGGTCTAGTGTTAGGAGGGAAAAGCCACCTAAGGAACCTTTGCAGTGCCGCACTTCATTGCGGTTCCCTGGGGTGCAGCAGTGCCAAGTTACACAGGAAGCACACAGCTTTTGCCAGCTTTTTTGGGTCTGAGTAAAATGTCATGAGGGTGGCATATCAGTGAGCACCGTTTTAAATTCATTTAGTTAAACCATCTGACAAAGCAAGCTTTTGTTACTGCAGCTAACCAACTCTAAACTCAACCGATGTACTTTGAGTCATGAAAAGCTTAGAAACCAAAGCACTGTTTACCCTCCTCCCAAGTGCAAACACTGCTCTCCAGAGAGCATGTGCATTGGCTTCTGCAAGGAGAACTTTCCAGTTTATAAACCAGACCTCTGCTTAGTCATACTCAAAAAGAGTAAGTACTTTTTCACCCTGCAGGGAGGTATGTACCTGGCATGCTGGCTGGAAATGGAAAAACAGAACATATCTTAAGTATTCAAGAACTTGCTCAAGAAACAGATCCTCCCTCATATTTCAGAAGACCCTCAGCCATTAGATCTGATTTTTGTCCGCCTTCAGCACTGAGAGGGCTTACCTGGAGTCAGGTTACCAAACTAGATTCAAGCCTTTTACACATGTTCTCGAAAGTGTAGGAGAACTGGTATTCTCCATGCTTACCTTCTCTTAGATACTTCCCTCTCTTGTACATAATACTTGTTACAGACACTGTTCCTCCATGAAGGCAGTTATAAAGCTAAAATGTAAATAAAAATGAAAGCATTTTTGAAGTTGCCTGGAAGCCAAGAAGGTCTCAGGTTTGGACCTTCTGTAAGATAGACATCCTCAGATTTCAGTGGTGTTGAATCCTACCTGATAAATAAAAACATAAGTCATCTCTCCGTACATCAGAAAAGAAAATGGGAGTAATTTCTCAGTAACAAGTACTTCACACAAATATATAATTTCTTAATCATAATTCCAGGGCCTTTTTTTCCAGTAGATAAATTCAGTCCCCAGACTTGAGGGTCAAACCACTGGCTAATTTCAGGGGTACCCTGTTTATCTCCTCCTGCTGTGGGCATAAGGTCTACTGGAACTGTCATTACAGTCATTTTAGCAGCCTTCCAGTATTTTAGCAGCCTTCCAGTATCTGAAGGGGGCCTACAAGGATGCTGGAGAGGGACTCTTCACTAGGGACTGTAGTGATGGGACAAGCGGTAATGGGTTAAAACTTAAACAGGGTAGGTTTAGATTGGATATAAGGAAGAAGTTCTTTACTGTAAGGGTGGTGAGGCACTGGAATGGGTTGCCCAAGGAAATTGTGAATGCTCCGTCCCTGGCAGTGTTCAAGTCCAGGTTGGACAGAGCTTTGGGTGACATGGTTTAGTGTGAGGTGTCCCTGCTCATGGCAGGGGGGTTGGAACGAGATGATCTTAAGGTCCTTTCTAACCCTAACTATTCTATGATTCTACTTCTGTAGACTTCCCATGAAAGGCCCAGAGCTGACAGACAGTCAGAAGAATTTGTGATTGTTTGGTATTTTCAGAAGCAGCACCTTTCAGACAAGTAAAAAACCACGGCTGGTACACTTGTGCACACCAAATTGAATTTAATAAAGCCAGGATCAAAAGCCCCACTAGCACAGGTGATTGATGTTATATGGTCTGGGAGAACTCCCAAGATCAGTAAATATGGGTGGTAAAGAATTTAAACTATTCTGCTATATAAATACGGGCTGAAGCTGGCATTAAGGCAATGAAGCCCTGTGCCCTATGACAGGCAAGACAGAAGAGCTAACAGGATTGCAGTTGTTCCTTCTGAAGGAAAGAGCAAGGAAAATTGTCTATTTCCATTTTTCTTCTCACCTTTTATTTCTTTAGCCTCGCTCAGTTGTATGTTTGTAGCAACACCATTGGGCTCTGACCTTATCAGAGACCTGTAGCTTCAGGCACACAAACACAGCTACAAATTGGCAGAGTACATATATCTGGGACAACAGCAGTGATGGAGGAACCCCCATGGGTCAGGGAGGGGTGCAGAAAAGAAGGGGAGAGGTTACATGGGTCCTTGCAAAGGACGATCCTTTTCTGTGCGTGTCTGGTTCTTTGCTTTGCTTTCCTTTTTTTTTTTAAATCTCTACAGCTGACTTGAATCTTCCCTCCCAGGCATAAATCTTGCCAAATTGTTTGGCATCTTTATACACAGCACTGAGGCTTGCATAGCATGTTGAGCCAAAAATATTAAGAAACATAGTATTTTGTTATGTAGATAATGACTTATAGCTTTTGGTCTCAAAGTACTCAGAAACTTCCACTACATCTGGAAACCAGCATTAGAAATGTACGCACTACCACCAAAGCTCTGACCTTCACCTCTAGATGTGAACCCTAGAACCCTAGTCCTCACTCCCCCCAAAACTGTGGGATTACCAAACTGCAGAGCCCATGTATGGTGTTTCCAAAAGCATTAACTAACCCCCTAGAAATTCTAGGATGTAGGAGGAACATCCTCCCCCGTTGAACCAAGTTGAAAATGGACCACTATGTTCTGTGACTTTCTAGGGCTTTCCTGGAAATTCTGGGTTAATTTGAGTAGTTCAAGGGACTCAGAACAAGGTGCAGAAAGGAAATCTTTCACTGCCATATCACTGCTCCAGCCACTAGACTGTGTTCAGTCTTTGAATTATACAGCAGATAGACTGTATAATAAGGGGAGGATTTTTCCTTTTTCTTTTTACCCTTTGCACTTTATTTTCTCTCTCCCTGTTCTCTTAAATATAAAAAAGCTAGAGAGCTCTATATGAAATTCCATTTGGCAGCCGTAGAGTGGATAGTGAACATAAAGAAGAGATTCCTTTGCTGTGCCTAATGCATGCTGCTTATCCAAATTAGCCACACAATTACTTCTATCAATGCAAAAACAGTTTAATGTTTTTTTTTTTTTTCTAGTGCACAGCGCTTGAGAACAACTTAAAATGCAGTGTAATTTGCCACAGTGTATGTCCTGAAGTGGCTCACTAATGAAAAGAGGATTAACTCTCCATTATTCCGAATTACCATTTTGTGAAACCACTAACAATATTTTCATTTATATACATATAACCCAAGGGGGAGAAATATTCCAGCCATCTAAGTGATTAACAAATAAAATTCATTAGATAACATGCACTTTGGTCTTATTTATGAAGAGAAAGATTAGGGTATAAAAATGCAGATGACTGAATTTTTATCATCCTTGTTCTGATAATACACTTAAGCCCATGACAGCATAATTGGTGAGCACCAGCAGTTCCATTTTATATCCACACACTGGATTGAGAAGCAGAACCTGCAGGACATCAGGCTTGGCAGTCAAAACCTCACAGGCTTGAGCATCGGAACCTCGTCCCACTGAGGTGGACCCAGCCACTGCAGCGTGGGCAGAAAGGGAACAGGAAGGTCTCAGCAGCTCACACAGGCTGGCTGCTGCACAGCACAGCAAGAGAGGAGCTGTGGCCTGGGCACAAGGGAAGAGTGGGCTGCGCTGCAGATTGCCCTCACTGGAAGGTAATTCCTGGGCCCAGATGCAGGGCTCTGTTCCTCACTATACTCCTAAGTTGGGCTCAAACCTTTCAGCCAAGGAGAACCTCTCTGGAACAATGGCAGTTCCTGCTAGCTGACTGTCCTCTTCATCCCTCCCCATGAAGTAAGACAGGCTGTCCTGTGCTGGAGCAGCACTTCCAGGGGCAAGTGGGATGTGAAGTGCCTCATGCAAAGGGCAGGAGGACTGTACCTACTGCAGAGAGCTTTTGTATCACAGGTTGTGTGCTCCCGGCACAGTGTGGTGCCATGAAGTGACTGCTGAACTGGTATGGGACAGCTGCACTGCTACACCACTCAGTCTACGCTAACTAGTCTGTAAAGCAAAGCATTTTAGCCCTAACGAAGCACAGCAAGGGATTTGAAACTGCTCCAATGAGCCTGTGCAGGGCTAACCCTGCAATCTGCCATCTGACTGTAGCGGGTGAACACCCTGCAAGGAATGGTTTCCTCTCCCCAGAGGTCTGTGAAAGAAATCTGAGCTTTTCCTGCCTGGGTTTGTGCTAGACAGTCATCTTTACACAGACAGTCATCCTTATATCCACAACAGCATTTAAGAACCACCATGGAAAAAAAATCCAATCTACTTTTCACTTTTTAATCTAAGAGGGCAGGCCTGGGGAATGGTGTTCCCTCAGCTCCCTTTGGTGTACACAGAAAAGTCAGTAACAGATGAGGTTACACATCTTTGGTTCCTGGAAAGACACAAGCTTTTCCATCCCTCTACCCCCAACCAAATGCTTCACGGCAATTAATTCCAGAGCTCAAGTAGCAAACCAGCCTCCTTTCTCCCCCTTCCAGTTAAACTCTGTTATTTCTTACTTAGTCTAGAGTCAAATCTGAAATACATATTTTACTAGAAGAATTTCAACTGATGCTTTCCTGTGCTCTAATTCAATTTAAAAATCCCTGCAGCAGATAATATTGGCAAGGCATAAAAGAACATAGCTTATTTGAAAGTTCAGGGAGCATATGGCTTCCCAGGACAGAAACGAGTATTTCTCAGCAGCGGTCTAACTTTCAGAGTGCTAACAAAGCTTCAAAGCGAGACGGTGTCACACTACCACAAACGATCATTTGCACATGTAATTGCCCTGTTTTGAGGTCTGCAGTCTACGAGGAGGGACTATTGGTGTAACAAATCAATGCATTGTGGCCACCGAGCACGATTACCAATTACATTGCTTTCTCTTCTTCCCTTCCTTTCCTCCCCTCCCATTTGATGCAGCTGTGAATAAAACCATAGTCAGTCCTTCAGCATGAGGGCAGCAGGCTCTCAGCTAAGATAATTCCTTACTAGACAAATAATTCCTTACTAGACAGATAGCAGTTCTTATCAAGTTCTAGATAACAGCCTATTCACTCTGAAGTCAGACTGTATTAGATTTGTATCTCTGACTATCTAACATTACCTATACTGTGGAATCTGCACATAGAATTTGCATAATTCTGGCATCGAAAGGTAAAATTCTCTCCTGGGGAATGTCTACTGGGGGCACAGAGATGGGACTTGGTGCTACTCAGAGGCAGGCAAGCCCAAGCCCAAGGTAAATCTGCTAAAAGCTAGACTTCTCAGAGCCCTCTACAAATCTCTGCAGAGGACCACTTAGCTAAACATCATCATCATGTTTTAGGAAGCTTGGCTGAAAGACAGATCCCCTTGCCAGTGAAAGCAAGCCAATTTTTGAACAAAGGTGTACACATGCCAAACAAAAACTGGCTCCACAATCTTGCCTAGCTTTGGAGTAGGAAAACAGGAATCATTTGGCTTTTTCAAGTTTTGTGGAGAAACAGAACATGACATGCACAAAAGAGCCCAAACTGAGGAAACAAACCCCATGGGTACATGGGATGTCAGTGAAAAATGGTCATCCTGCTTTCAGGAGAGCTCTACAACAGCTGCATGAAGGCATTAGCCAGATTTTTGTAATTAAAGGACACAAACATCACTAGTGGCCAACCCCAAAAAAATTGTGGGAGCCACTACAGGATTTGTTCGCTGCAAGAAAGGTGGATTTTTGGCAGGCTGTACTTGCATACTTCATAGGGTCAAGCCCAACTCCACCTCTTCTTGTTACACGTTTCCTATGGAACTGCAAAGTTCAACTTCTCCCTTCAAGGGGATGAGAGACAGGAGCAATTGCTGCCTTGAGACATCAGGGAGTCCAGTGGAAGACAAGACAGACCCAACACGGAGATGGAGCAGTGTCCTGGGTTCAGCTGAACCCTGGACAAGCAGGCAAGAGTCTGCAGCAGAAGGCTGGCAACAAGGGGAAAAAAAGCACTTTTTTCAAAGGACAAGATAGGTAAGTGACAACTGGCAACAGGGTAAATAGGAGGCCAGACATGCGGACAGCCCCAGATTCCAGTTCCTAGAGGTTTGCTGTAAAGACCAGCTGCATGAGTGATTTAACTTCCTGCTGACAACATGCAGAACAAAAGGTGATTTGCCTTCAGCCACAGAAGAAAACAAAGGAGACATTAATTGCAACACCCATGTCCCTCACAATAATTCTTCTCTGACATAGTGCCTAGACATGAGTATTTGTCTGGTCGTGTGCAGATTGCTGCTAATTTGGACTGAAAAGCTCTCCTATACACCTTTATCACTTGTCAATCACTGCTTTGCTTCTTCTTTACTAAGAATACGTGGATGTACTGTACCTTAGCGCTCCCCATGCAAAACTGTCTTTAAGTCATCAAAAAATGAAAATAAAACATAATCTGAAAAATCCTTCATCTAAACACACCAACACTGTATGCATGTGGATACCAGCTGGCTTCTCTGGGAGGACAGTGCAGTGCCACACCTGAGCTAAGGAGCATAGCACTGCACTCTTGCAGCTGCACTACACCCACAGTGGCTGGTATGGTTGCTGCTGGTGCAAGGGTTTCTGTATCACATGTATTTCATGGGCTTTTACCTGGGATACTTCAGATGCAGGATATTAGGAAAATTAAATGAAGATGTAAAGGACCCGTGGACGCAAAGAACTTACCTGTCCAAAAACAAACCTACAGTTACCTGCCACGTCCTAAGGCAGTGTCTTCATAAAGACGTGGATGGGGAATGCATTGAGACTCACGTTAGTCCTTGGCCTCTAACTTTGCTCACCAGCTTTTTGAAAACTCCAAGCTGCTCCTGGGGCCAGTGCCCAGTTCCTAAGCAAGGCAAAGCTTCAGGAAGTGGGGGAGAAGGGACATCACCTAACTGGGCTTTAACTACTGACTCCACAGCTGAGGGGGAAAAATTTCCCAGGGAAAAGCCCTGATCAGGACAGCAGCTGAGAAAATTACAGCAACCAGGAAAGAATCTTGACCTTCAAGAGATGTGTAAAGCTGACACCAAAGGATTCAACACTAGCAGACAGCTCAGACACACAGGACATCAGGGTTGTCAGTTTTGAGCAACTCAGCTTTGACAGCATGGACAGGCAAAGGGTGCTGTTTTTAGCATCATTAATGATACTCTGGTTTTACCTACAGGATAATAGTACTCCATTGCTCTCCTCTGTATGTTCATCGCTGCTTCTTCCTACCCACTTGGCAGGTACGCATCAAGGTTAAAAAAAAATAAAAACCCAAACACCCCCCCCCCCCCAACTGCCAAATTTGAACCCCAAAAGAAGGAAGTCCTTGAGCCCAACCTGGCTAGAAAATACTTTGTCAATCAGTCAGTGGTGCTGCCAAAAGGCAAACTCTCCTTCCTGCAAAAAGCCTACAAGGTTCAGTGTGCAGGGCTGCATTAAGATCTTTAAAGACCAGAACTGGTACACCCAACATTTACCTGAATCTACACATTTTACCTCCCTGCATTGCTGAAAACCACTCAGAGAAGCCTTTACGAAATTCACAGTTAACGATAATGAAACATACTTACCCTACTCAGTTCTCCAAGCTGCTCTAGATCCCTTGCATCAGGCTCTTGGACCTAACAAATTTGTGCCAGTAGACTTTCCAGGAAACAAATTCCCAGTGGAGACCGATCTTCAGTGATCACACACTTTTGCCTTTTGCTCCCATTGCTGGTGAGCTTGTCCAAAAGCATTCCTTGCCCGGCCCAAACACACCTGGCCAGTGCTGCTCCCAGCATCACACAATTGGAGCAGAAGTTGCCTGCTTTGTGATTCCTCACCTTAACATTCTGTTTTGGTTACATTCCAGTTTCTTGCACGACCGAAAGCACTACTCCATGGACAAGATGTCATCAGAAGGTTTGAATGCTGGGAAGAAAAACGCATACAAAGCAATGAAAGTAGAGCCTGATGAGGATTACTCCACCCCAGGTGCATTTGAATTGGAGCGACTCTTCTGGAAAGGATGCCCACAGTACACTCATGTCAATGAAGTCTGGCCCAATCTCTACATAGGAGATGAGTAAGTATACATAGTACTGCTCTACACAGTGGACGAGTAAGTGTACATAGCACATCTCTTTTACATAGGAGATGACTAAGCTGCACTAAGTACAGCTCACCAACAGAGCACGGTGTTTCTTTCCTCCTCCTACTCATTCGTTAGTTTTAGCAGTGATGATGTGGTTTGACAAGGTACTGACAGATGCCAGAATCCAACAGAGCGACCAGAGCCTGGGAAGGCCCCCAGATATGGGCACACCATGTTGGTTGCTGCTGGTTCAGGAAAGCACTGAATAAGCGTGGCAGGGTCTACTGCTCAAGTCTCAGTAACAGGAGCACTTGTGGCACTAGTGTAGGCTGCTGCGGTTGAAGGCAGTCATGATCTACTTTTAAATGGCTCATTGCAAGGAGTAATTTGTGAAATTCCAGAGTTACACTGACAGAAGAGCATGACCTAGATGCATTGACCACAGCTTAGGTTGGTTTAAACCTAAAACGTAATTCTTGAAAAGTGATTAAAGGGACAGCTCAACTCACAGTGGTATTTCTGCATTTCCAAGCTTGTGCTTCTATACATGGAATACTCTGTACTTCCAAATTGCTCAAGAGATTAAAACAAACAGAACCTTGTGGAAGGCAAAGCTGCAGATCAGACCAAGTGTGATTTGGAAAAAAAACAAACCCACAAAACAGGCTTAGCTCTGCTGAGCACAGGACTAAACTAGAAACAGCCTGTTCCAACAAGCAGAGATGGCTGCTGCAACCCAGAGACATGCCATCAGAAAATCCCCCAACCCAAGCTCCTGAGCAGAGCAAGAGTGCTTTTCTTACCCCTTAGGCATTACTGGTCTACTTCCCATTTTCCTCTACACCCTGTGCTAACATGACGTTTATTTTACATCATTATCAAAAGGCACAAGCAGGAGGCCCACTGGCCACAAAGTTCTCAATAATTTTTTAAAAGGTCCTAAAATTCATCTGTTGCCAGCTTATAAAAGAGGAAAGATATACAGCCTTGAAAGTTACAAGACTCCTAATATCATAGACCAATTACTTCTGTGGCGCCAGAGGGAACAGAAAGACACATAATTTCTGGGCTCCCACTTTCAGAGACTTTTAGAGATTAAGCCATGAGAAGAGCCTGGCCAAATGACTCAGGAACAAAGAAAAGGGGGTAGAGTTGTCCTCTCTCCACCCTATCCTATCTGTTTTGCTACATATTTCTAACTCAAGATTCAGTGTAAAAACGAGCACTTATTTCCTACTTCCTTGTTCAGAATCACCAGCAGAATTTTCTGAATTAAGCTGTTGGCAGAATTTCCTTATCTCTGTGATGAAGCTACAGCTCTGCCCTCTAGCAAAGGAATCTAATGAGACAACAGGTATTTGGACAGTAGTTTCTGCGCCCAGGACAGCAGCCACTGACTGTTTCCTGTAATTGTTCCTGCAGCAGTGGTTTGTTAATTTAATAAATGTTGGAAGGTGTGACTCTGAATACAGTACACCTGCACTTAGTACAAACTAACCAGAGGAACAGCAAAACCAAACTTCTTGAAAGGTACTTTTAGCTATGGCCACTTAAACCAGGGAGTATATTTCTGCAGCAGACCAGTCTTAAGTCAGGAGGAAAAGCAATGGTGCTTCAAGAGGAAACAAGCTCCTCAAGCTGACTGGGACAAAAGCATGAGAAAGCTAATGGAGAAGAAAAAAGATCTGAGGAGCATATGGGGAGTTAGCAGAAGTAAAAGTTCACCAGAAAATGGGACTCCCTGAAAAAGACCAATTAGTCAGCCAGACAGGGACAAACTTGACATTCAGTAGCAGAAAACCCAAGACGATGACTGGTCTGCAGGCAAGATGCAGCTGCCATTACTGGAACTAAAATTTCATTTGAAGCAGGCAAAGTCCAGACCTCTGTATCTGCCCTCAGCCAGCTCCACACCTTACTTCCAACCAACAGCTTTCTCCTTCAGTGTGGCAGGGGGTTTATATTATCTTATTTTAAGATCATGCTGTAGCATTGGTTGCTGAAGAGCTGCCATGGAGACATGAACAGATGTTGGTTGCATTTGCATCCTTAGCCATGCTAAATTAAAGTTGATCTTGAAAGAATTTAGTGGAGCTCATCAACAAAATCAAGTGAACACACACATGCAGGGTTTATCTTCAGAGCCTTCACATCTGTGCTTCATTCCTGCCTCCTGCATTTACAAGGTTAACAGGACTTGTGACTGCTTATGGAAATGCTAATTAATTAACCTGACTACATAACCACATCTTCTTTCTAATGCAATACAGGCTACCAAGGAGCCCTGTGAGGCCACTCAATCCTTTTGTTACAAGGCTTCACTGCAGATGTTGCCCAGAGGCAATGAAATCTCCATGAGCCTGTCAGACCCAGAATAATCAAAGCCTCAAAATATAACATGCTGTGTTCAGCTCCAATTGAAATTTTCCTCCAGCAAGTTCCAAGGACTTTTAAAGACCAGACACTGGAACTTGCAGGAGACAGCCCAGTGATAGGAATAAAACAAGCTTTGCCAAGATCTTGATTCATCTGCTACGAGGATTAGTGCTTGCATATATCCTCCTCACACCTAAAGGCTGCCTAAAGGGATAGAAAGCAGCTTTGTCTTGCTCCTTTCTTTCACTGGTCACTGGGTTACTTGCATGGGCAGTTTGATTGGCTAATCCCAAGTCTGCTTGGTTCACTGCAATCACATGGAAAATACCTCTGCTAGCTATGTAGCTTATAGTTTCTTCTTGCAACAGTTATCGCCTTGTTACCCCAGATGATGATCATGGTTCCACTTTTCTGAATTTCAAAGAATATTTTAGCTGAAGACAAAGGCTTCCCCGGATTTTATTTTCCTTTTAACCACTCTCTAGCTCTCATTAGGATGTAAGCCCTGATCACAGTTTCAGGTCTTTCTGTGTTCTCAAACTACTCCAGAGGAAAAGAAGTCTTCTGGAATCTACTTCCTTACAGGTTAAATATGAAAAATAATTTTCTGGATATGCAGCTGAGCCGAGCTTGTACTTCAAGAAAGCTATTGTCTGTGCTTGTCCCACTAGAGCCTCAGCGCTTAGGGTCTTGAGAACTAGCACAGGTAAGATTCAACAAGATACATGAGTAACTCAGACTTACAGGTTGAACTGTAGGATAATGAACATCTATAAGTAAGCTTTAAATATAGGTAAATACAAGTAAAAGTCTTTCTCTCCTCTACCCTTTCTCCAGAAAAAGGATACAGTATGGCTTTTTCCAAGAGATTAAGTATAAAGACAATTTATACTAATGTAGAAGAAAACAGATGGGTAGAAAATAGTTGCCACCCACTGTTTTACCATTATGAACTCTTAGGATCTACAGCAGTATTAATCATAAAAAAAAATAGAAGTGCATGCAAATTTAGATTATAAGAACTCTCTTGAGGACATAGTTTCAACCTTGTTAGTATGAAGATCTGCCAATTGCAACAGCAGTTTAACAATTCAGAAAATCAAATCTGTAACACCAGACTGTAAACCTCTTAAAACAGAAATGAATTCCAAGACAAGTAAAAATTCCCCAGATACCAACATCTCGCTCCACAGGCGATTCCTAACACTTGGCAAATGACTGAAGTCAAGACCAGGATCTGACTGACTACTTCACTTGATGTAGTCAGTCAGGCTTGATGCCTCCCTGCTGCATATGAAGCAGAGAGGTATTCCCTGTACCTAGGTTGCATCATTTACAAAAACAAACCCCACCATTTTGGACCAGAAGAAAATGGACTACTAAATCTTTTTGTACCACGTATTACAAAGATCCTCTTCAGCATTTTCAGCAGTACCTAAAAATTCTTCTAATTCACACTCAACAGGAGGTATCCACAGAAACGGAGCAACACCTCAGAAGGAAAAGGGGATACAGTGCTTCACTATCTCTAGACTCCCTCAGTGCTGGAGTTACCAAAGGAAATTGGGTCAGTATTATTGGAAATTCTCAACATCTCTCCTCAGGAAGGAGAACTGCCAGATTTTCTTAAGCAAGTGTCAGTATTGCCTATATTCAGGAAGCTTCTTTCTGACACTGACCATCTGGTAAATTATCATCCTGCATCAAGCTTTCCTTCAGCACTAAAGAAAATGGGAAAGTTTGAGAGATGAATCCTCTTCTAGTAACAGGTTGCCTCATATTTCCTTGTGTTTTGTCAATTGGGGTCACATCAATCTGTGGTTTTAACAGTCTATACTGAAATATGTTTGCATTGCTCAAGCTTAAGATACTTTACTGTACTTAAGAGTTTACTAGCATACCAGTCGTCTGGTTGACCAGTACCCGCTATAAGGTGCTGACTTACCTGTCAAGGAAGCTGCTCTGCCCACATCCTCATGAGGCATTTTGGAGGATTACTTCCCTTCCTTTAGATGTACTTGGGTTTTCATCATCAGCTGGCTTCTCTTCTCTTCATTAGCTGCTTTTAATATACTTAACATTTGATGTGGAGGTGCAGGCTGCAGTGCCTACAAGTTGTTTTTCCCTCTTTTCCAACTCCATTGGTTTGGGCAACTTCCTGATGAAAGCAGCTGGGACTAAAGCTTGTTATGACAGTATTTTTGAAAAGAAGAGAAGGAATTTGGTACACTGGAGATGGCAACTTGAAAGGAAGGCTTTTCCTTCGCATTACAACTACTTACACTGTTGCTTCCAGTTGCTTCCAGAAGAAGGGAGAGTTTTCTGCAGCGCTTGCTTTTAATCCTGTGAATCTAAAGCTTTAAAACTGACAGCACGCACAGTTAGTTTTGGACAAGCCCTTAACTTGCCCTTGCACAACATGAAAGATGCTCTTCTAGGAACCATTTGAAAACAGATGACATTTTTGTTTGGGACAGTCCCCCCTCTTAGTGAGGGTCTGTTATTATCAATATGTCCCTACATGAAAGTGATTTTATCTCAAGTTTTCGCCCTTTAGGTGGCATTCCCATATCAAAGTACTCCCCCTTGCCTCAGAACTTTAAAAACATGTTTATGAGTCCATCTGTCCTACAGTAAATGCAGGGTCTGATTCAGCAAAGCACTGAGTTTTTAGTTAACATGCTTTCCTATAGAGGGAAGGACTTCTGGGTATGCTTAACTATCAGCATATGTTTATGTGCTCTGAACCGAAGAACTGTTGAGTTTTTACACAGGACCAATCTGTCCAGTTCGTCTCTTACTAAAGTGAATTTCACTGAAAATTTCACTGTTATCTCCCAGTGCCACACTTCACCTTCTCTGCATAGGAACATGTTCGAGGCAGACACTGGAGACCCCAGTTGCACCATGTGAAAAGAAATCAAGTGCTAAGAGCACAGATGGTGGAGACATACAAAATGAAAACAATCACAAGAATAGTCAAATGTTTAAGGCTTCACCTACACTGGCATTTGTAGCAAACTCTTCTTTACAATGGCTACTTAAAACTCAACCATAATCACAAAAATGTGACTATTAATTGCAATTTAGGAAACAGTAATACCCGAAGAGGGAAAAGAGGAATATTGTTAGCTTGACTATGAAACTCTTCTAGTGAGCCAATTGCAAGGGAGAAAAATCTGTGCCATTTCTAGCTGAAAGTGAATTAGTAGTAAGAGTTATGAATTCTCCAGTAAGGTTTATGATTCATATATCCCTGAATGATCCTATGCTATTAGTCACCTAAACCAGTTGGATATTAGAAGAAATTTATGCTTGATTTACTCCTTCCTTTCATCTAAAATACCAGTACCTCAGGCATAGTAAAAACATCAAGGAAGACCAAAAGCATTCCCCCTTCCCTGGGACATAACCAGGAGCATGATGCATGGTGAAACACAAAAAATCTAGGCTCTAGTAAAGGTAAACAGGTAACGAGGGATGCTTCCACAACACTAGATTCAGCTGAGGCTGGAAAGAAAGCCAGTCCTTTGCACAGACCTGGAGTTCACTGATGGCTAAAGCCATTCCAAGCAAACACATCAAGGGGCACAGTAACATTTCCATTTACAAGCATATGTGTCCCTCTATATGAAGGCTTAACAGCCTGCTCCTTGCTCTCTGTTAACTGGCAATCAACATACTGCAGACCCAGCATGACCTCAAGTTTAACTGCCTATGTTATGGCAGTGTCAGGGTCTCGGCACAGTCTCTTCCCAGTAATATTTATGATCAAAGAACAAGGTAAAAAGACAGCTGATGGGAGTGAAAAAGCAGACAAACCTGGGCCCATATGACAAGTGGTGGTCTAGCTGGGCTGTTTGTCTAGCTTTTGGATAAAGATTTTATCAGGAAAAAAATGAAAAAAATTTTTGAAAGGACAGTAGAGGTATCTTTTATGAAAACATAATTATCAAGTGCAAGACTGGGGTGATAGAGAGAAAGGAGAAAGAACATAACTGCCTTCTAATCTGCGTATCAAGTTTGAAACTAAGCATTCCTGGCTCTTGAAAAAGAGTAAGCATCACTTCAGATTTCTTCACAAGATGCAGATCCTAAAGCCCAAGGCAGTCACCTCTTGCAGTCCAGTGAACCCTATTTTGTATCCCACAGTAACTGTTTCATCAGATCTCTACACAATCTCATGTATTAGAAACCTTAGGAAAAGCTTTCCAGAGATCACATTGTCCAGAGTATCTAATGGAAAAAAGGTACCAACATCCACTTTACAGATTACATGCAAGTGCTCAGCCTGCAGATGCACAAGCCACATATCTACCCACAGGGCGTACACTAACCCTGCTCCACTTGGCCAGGGCAAGCATTTTGGGTCTCTGTTCAATTGACAAGTTCTACAACACCTACACACCGCACTGAGTACCCATTCCAGTGGAAGTGTGGAGATCTTAACAGATTGGAGTGCTCAACACTGAGCACTCATTTTCTGGAAGTTTTCTAAATTAGCAACATCTGTAGAAAGAAGAAAATGTGCATCCATATTGCAAAGATAAGAATTATACTGGGCAAAGCAACATTCAGTCCAGAAGGGTACTGCTGAACCTGTTTACATATCAAGTGCAATTAAAAACCAGATGTTTTAAAATCAGCCTATCCCAAACACTGAGGAAAAGAGTAAATGTTCTTGGCTGCCAGAAACAGTGGACAGCTTAAGTATTTCCTTGATACACCTGTAATTTACTTAAAAAAGAAAAATCAGATATTTCACAGAAGATTTTGTTACACTTGAGTATCTACAATGGGCTTTTTGCAACAGCATTCAAGGTTGATCCACTGCTGATTCCATTTTTAGCCCAAACCGTGGAAAACAGAGGGAACTAGAAGAGTAACAATATGCATATTCCCTAACTTAACTCCAGCAGGACACGGGCAAAACAATGGCTAATGCAAATTGTGATGCAAAATAAACACCCAACTGCCCTGCCTTTAATTGGTTAAATAAAAAGGAGGAGGATTAATTCCATCCCAGCCCCAAAATGCACAGTATGCAGATACAGGCAAGACTGGGAGGTGGAGGGGGAAGTTCCCAGGTAGTTAGCCAGACTGACCTGATTGCTCAGTTAATGAAAAGATGGTATCCCTTCTTTCTGAATACATATTGAAACACTGGTGCCTCTGAACACTTGAAAATGAGATCCCTCCACAAAGAACAAGACTGTAAGTGCAACCATCAGAAACAAATGCATTAGTTTCACCCACTGTGTCAAAAGGCAATCCCCTGAGAACCTAATCAAGGAAATGGAAAACTGTGTTTCAGATGAATGTAAGCGTCAAATGTTAATGACTGTCATGCAACCTATTGTTTGACATTGTCCTTGCTGAGAACAATTTCATTACATAATTCAAATGCTGTTTATTAGCCTGAGCAGCACTTGCAGAAGCTAATGTCTGGTAGCATCCACAGTCCATCAGAAACTTTGTTTTTGCACTGATCCCTAACTACACTGCAGTCCTACTTGCTATTCAGGATGTAGGTCTCCAACTGCAGGGGTTCTAGTTGAGCACAGATCTCTGACCTGAAACCATCAGTCTTTCATGATTTGTTGGATACATGCTTTGGCCCAACCCGGTGAATGGAAAACATATTTGCTCTATCCCAGCATCAGGGACAATTGTCAAATAAGACAATTTGAAAGCACAACCTGTAGTTCACCTCAAGCACATCAAAACCAAGAGAAGTGGTTCATGCACCTTTACTCTTTTTTTTTTTACTGGCCATCCATACAGTACAGAACTGAAGTGCCTTTGCTGGCGAAGTGTACAGAGGATGTACACTTTAAGAGAATCCAAAGGCACAAATCTCCTAAAAGAAGGAAGAAAAAAGTTTTCTAGGTCAACCACTGCAACATGAAGGGAAGGACTGTGCATTAATTAACCTGAGGTGAAGGTGACAAGTCACAGCACTAGCAGCAAGGTGCTGCTTCTTCTCTGTCCTTCAGAGTTGACTGATCTTAAGCAGGTATCACCATGCTACCTGGAGTTTTTATCTACTTTTAAAAATCACAGCATAGTGGACATTACTTCATGACAACAATGCTAGTAGGGCCAAGACATTATCATTCCTGTCCACAAAGTAATTTCTGCAGGGAGGAGTATTTACTCAGAACAGCCAGTTACCATGAGCTTTAATTAGGTAAGAGTGAGCATAGGTAAGACATTCAGTATTTATATCCCAGTCAAATGCCCTAATCACTGTTCATAGGGGGGTTTTAACTCTGACAGAGGCCGGGAAGGCAGAGTCAGCATCAAGCTGTTCTGAGCTGTCACCACTAGAATTATGAAGCACAACAGGTAGCCCACCACAATGTCCTGTGTGGCAGTAGCTGCATTTACACACTGAAATGTTCAGGAAACATTATGGAGAGAGGTACTCCTGGTTGGAAAAAGCTGTTTCACATCATGCACTAATTCATTTATGGCAGCAGTAGTTATGTGAAAACATTAAGAGAATAAAGCCTATGCAATTTTTTTGGGGGAAAAAAACTCAGTAGTCCTCCTAGGTACTAATGATACTTGACAGCTTTTCCTGAACAAAACTTACCAAAACTAAAAGCTTTCTGTACTGGAACAAAAAGATTTTTACATGCCTAGCCACAAACTGCACTTTTTGAATAATTCCAGACTGCTGGCAAGCACTTAGAGTGGGTTTAGGCACACAAAAATCTAGGATTTCCTTACCTATCTGACTCCTCTTATCTAAGGGAAGAGAGGACAATAATAAATTAGAATATTATGATAAATGCAAGAATTTCAGCTTTCACTGAAGGCTAATATGCAGTTTCTGTATCTAGTTCTTTTTGCTTTAGACCTCTGGTTTAACCAAACACTACAGTAAAAGGAAACCTGGAAGGGAGCTGTGACCACAAAAGGGTGATATTTAGAACTATTTTTATTTTTTAAAACAGAATTGGAGAAAAAACTCAGTAACTTCTTTTAGGGACAAAGAGCTTCTTTTTGAATCCTAAGTATCTTACTACTCACATATCACTCACTCTAATTAGTTCTGCAATATCTATTGATGGGACAGGAGGGGAAAGCAGAATTCCTGGGTCCTATTTCATGTTCTGCCACTGATTTATGACTTTAAATAATTCATTCTATTACTTTCTGTATCTCAAGTTTCTTCTTGTATAAGATGGATAGAAGCCAGTATTTCCTACATTACGAAGGCATCAGGAAAATAAATTCATTTTTAAGGTGCTCTAAGGACCTGGGAGAGATAGTTATGAACTCCAGAAGTATCATTCACTCTAAATGACAGTATCTGAAGATCTTTACAAGGGTAAATGATGCATTTTCGAAGCATTATCAGTTCCATTAACATTTAGAACGTACCAAATCAGATTTTTTTTTTTTCCTGGCTTGCTGGGTAAGAAGGTTCTTCACTTACATGATAGCTCTTGTTTTAACAGGAAAACTGCACTAGATCGCTACAGCCTTCAGAAGGCAGGCTTCACCCATATCCTCAATGCGGCCCATGGTCAGCGAAACGTGGACACAGGACCAGAATATTATCATGACATGGCTGTGGAGTACCATGGAGTGGAAGCAGATGATCTCCCCACTTTCAAGCTCAGCCAGTTCTTTTATTCAGCTTCTAAATTCATTGATAATGCGCTTCAGGATGAAAGAAGTAAGGATGATGCTGAATATGGTTAAAAACTGTAGTATTTACTCCATCTGATTATAAGCATAGTTCCATTGGATTTAACCTTGTGGGAAGGAAACAAGTTTAACACAGAATATAAAACTAGTAGCAGAAAACTAGATTAAGAGAAGGTAGTGATGTAAACAAGGACCTTTCTCACTGCAGAACTAGTACCAGCACCAGAGCCTCTTACCAAGCACTTTGATAAAGCCCACACAGAATCAGAATCATAGAATAGTTAGGGTTGGAAAGGACCTTAAGATCATCTAGTTCCAACCCCCACTGCCACAGGCAGGGACACCTGGCACTAAACCACATCACAGCTTGCATTATCTTCTGACAAGTTTTTTGTCTTGACTTTTTCATAAAACTCATCAGAAACAACTGGACATCGCATAGGTTCCATGAATTAGCTGTCTCTTCCTCAAATTAGTCCCTATTGGGAAAGGTTTAATGAATATTAGTTGCATAGCAGTGGGAATGGAACACAAGTGCTCTGCAGAGACTCCACAGCTTCATGCTCTGCAGCATTAGATTTGTTCTACGAATACAAAACCTACCTTCTTACCTAGTCATCAAATCTACCACAAGCTACAGCAGATTTACCTCTCCACCATTTTCTAAGCAGCAGGTGACCAAAACATCTCTGACACCAGAGATCTAGAAACATTTCATTAAAGCCTTCGTAATTTCTCAGCTTGATTATCACAATTCATTATTTGCTGACCTCCAACAGTGTTCTATCAGAAAGCTGTACACCGATGTGAAGTGCTAAAGCCTAGGCCTCACACTGGCTTTCAAGATTACTCCTACTCCTTTTCCCCCTCCACGCTTTGGTTTGGGTGTTTTTTTCTTTTTCTTTTTTAAATCTCTACAGGGTATTTTACCAGAAACCAGCTGAGAAACTTAAGACTTTCCTGCTGACCTACAAATACCTTAATATCTAGCTATCAAGTTTCTAGCTTTCTGTCAGCTTCTGTTCTTGGCTGTTTAGCTCAGCCGTAGTCAGCTATTACGTGGCTTGCCCCCAATAGCTACACAGGTCTTAACAATTTTACCCTTTCAACAGCAAGAGTCCCCTTCCTTGCTCAGGATAAAGTCTTAAAGCAGTTCAGTTTTAAAAATCAAAGTACTAACAGCAGAAGAAACTGCTTCAGGAACTTTCTTGCTTGTGAAGAAAGGTACTTGGCATTTCAAAAAATTATGTCTGAAGCACTGCCCTTGGAAAGGAGTGGACAACTAATATGCATCTGGGGTCTAGTGACCTCCATGGCTGGAAGCCAGAGGTCAGTATCAGACTGGAGTAGCTGAAATAAGAAATGCAGACTTCCTCACTCCCACCACCCTCCTGTTCCTACAGGAGTTTTCTCTACTGCACTGGGGTAAAGAAATAAGCACAAAGGAAGCAGCAAAGGCTAGAACCCACCCCCACTCCCACCCCCCCCCCCCCTTGCATCCCAATAAACACTGGGGCAGGGAAGGGTAGGATGGGGAGGAGGGGGAAGTATTAATGTTTTTGTTTCAAAACCATATCAAAGTCCAGCAGGTTCCAAGACAGTTATCAAGCACCAGTCCAGCACTGAAACATAAAGCCAAATCAAAGAGTGACTGGATGAACTTCCTCAAAACAAAAAATCTTCAGTCAAGTAGATACTACAAACTGCAGCAGTTTCTGCATCTGTGTGCTGCTTGCCATATTCATATGTTTTTGTTTTTCAAACAAGACAGGATCTTTCCTGATAGAGATCAATAAAATAAGGAATTACTGTAATACTTATGAAGAAAAAGAGCAAGCTCTTAACTTTCTTATGAGGGAAAAGTACACAACATGTACATCTACAATTCCGGCCAAAGATATGCACCTATGCGTGGCCCACAATTACAGCAGCTTCCCACTACACATTTACAGAACAGAATGACTCCAGAAGCTAAATTGAAGAGTAGACTGATGTCTCCCACACTTAACAGGAGAAAAGCCTAGAGGCAAGTAACTGGTGCTCTCCTCCAAGAACTACATGCATTATTTTTGAATGTACATCGAGTATAGAAAGGTGCTCTGTATTTCAAGGGTCTAACGGAAAGGGCTATTTGTGTGTATCTTCCTGACAAATAGCATCCATATTCCTTAATAGGATTTCATGCTAAGTAACCAAGTAACTATCCCCCAACATGGGATTTCAGTATAAGGCCCTAAATAGTTCTGATCAGTAACACAATTACAGTCCTTTGCTACTTTGCATCAGAACTGAGCAAATACTGAGAGAGGGAAAAGGGCAACAATGACAGTTTACACATTTGTGACAGAATGCATGTCCTAATCAGTCTACTTTGACTGTAACACATTGCTTGGGGAGCAACCTTCAGCCAGCCAAATGGCTGAACTCATTGAATAGATGTCATCATACAATAATTTGCTGGGAAGAAACTCAACAGTCAGTGTTGTTGGAACAACTTTCCCTGCAGATGAAGAAGCCTCTATCTTTCTGCAACAGGCCAGAAAGCTTAGCAATTCAGATGCTGTCAAAACATAGTGCTAACACATTAATTCTGACCTAACCTTCAAAATTTTTGTGACGATGAAGAAACTCCCTGATCAGACCAGCATCCGCAGAGTTTAAACACAGGCAGATGGACTTGTATCTGAGCCGCTTTCAATGTTCTTAAGAGTAGTTTTAGAGGCAAACTCAAAACTGTCCACAATTACGCATGCTACCGTTCAGCTGTGCATAAAGATTTCCAAACCCATGCAATTCAGACCATAGGACAGCTGAAAATTTGTGTCAGCAAGGCCTGATTAACCCAAACAGAAGACGTTATTTTAAGAAGTTTTTAAGTTCCCTACTATGCTACAGATACAGTACTCATTCCCTTGGCGCCTTAATTCCTCAGAAAGTGAACTAGAGGGGAATAGCATTTTCTTTGCATGTGAAAATGTCATGGGAGAACATAAAGATAGATGTAAAAAAAGCAACATGAGAAGAAACATGAGAGACAGGCACAAAGACCCAAGGCATTTGACCAAACACCTCAGCAGTCATCACTCCATCTGACTCTGGAAAGAGAGTGCTGCATCTAGACAGATTTTCAAGAAACACAAGCCCCAGTCAAGTGACCAAAATAGTCCAGGGACCTGTCACCACTCAGTAGACCTCTGGTTCTGTGCACTGGTACTCTATATTCAGCCATACCTTGAAGGATCAAGTGTGAGAATCAAAGAGAGCAAGAGTGCATTCCATCTTGGAAAAGGAAGATTCAGACTGGTTCTTACATCAGAACTGATAGGTACAAAAGGGATAGAAGGGATGCAGCTCTGCAGGTCAGTATCAGTGTTTTGCTGTAATAGTCAGATCTTAAATATTTTCACACAGAAAAAAGGACAGACTTCATTTTCCTACAAGCAGGGGGCATTTCAGCATTGTACAGCCATTTTTTACCTTTGTTAACAATGTAAAACTGTACATTTTCTCCTACATCCCCTGCATTTGCCACCCACACAAAGGAAAGCCTTCCTTGTCCTATCATGCATTTATCACCTCAACAGCAACCCATTTACAAGGTGGGAAGCTCTAAAGAGAAGCATGAAGGGCTGAACAAATGAGAGTTTTTATCCGTTTCAAATATTTGCAGTAATAATAGAAGGGATTATCATTTTCCAGGAGAGGAAGAGGCACTTTTAGTTATCAGAGAGACTGGAATTTTGCCAAGATGCCTCTAAGACTATCTGCTGGGATTAGGATGCAGACTGTAACCATTTATCCTCTCATGTTGGCAGTTCTTGATGAATCCATTGCACACCAATGCTGCTTGTGCCAAGACTTCCTTTTGTGCCTGGAAGCAAAGGAGTTAATCAGCAGGAGTCAATCAGCAGGAGTCATGGCTTTGCACCCAACACTTCTCACTAGGCATAGCTGACAGAGATAAACTATTATTGGCCCTGTGAGAAGGTATTTTTTTCCTGTGGCAATTCAGCTTAGGAGGGTGTTAGAGAGAGTGCTCCAAATCCACTTCCTTCAGCAGTTCAACCCTTTGTGAGACCCCCTCAAGGGATTCAAGTAATTTTTGGAAATCTTTTGAAGTCTTTCAAAACCTGTTAATCAAACGTGAAAACACATGAAACCTCCACCTCCCCCAGACGAAGTAAATTGGGAAGGTCTCACTTGGGCTTACATCCTTGCTAGTACCTGAAACCATAGACTTTCTGCCTCTGTAAGTCCAAAGTTAAACCAAACAATGTCACAAAGCTAAATCTTGAGGCACATCTATTCAGACATCAAAACTACTAGCAGAGATTCTGTGTTCACAGCATTACACAAGACAAGCTACTACTGCCAGGAGATGACCATATTAAAGACTCAGAGAGGTGATGGTGAAATGCTACTTTCACTCAGTGTAACAGGGTGACTAGCCAGACTTTTAAAGAAGCTTGACTAAGGCTTAAGAAGTGGTTTCTTTGTATCCCCCTTGTTACATGCCTAGTAAATTCCACGGCCCTTCTTATCCTCTGCCCTCAAAAACATTACTGAGCTTTAAGAAAGCCTTGTTAGCTGTATTTTACAAATGAAGTATTTGGGCATTAAATGATGTAATTTAGATCCTGAAGGATATTACTGTCAAAACCACAAAATATAATCAGCTTCAGTTAGCTTCTGTGTCTAGCTTGTAGAACTGAGAAAGGCACCTCCGTGCACCCCGTTTATCCTCATGGAGAGACTGTCTGATAGCACACTGAACCCTCTCACGCTCCTGTGCTTTGGTCATTATGTCCAAACACAGATTTACATAACATGTCACTTGTGAGGCATATAAAGTTAGGGTGCAGTGGGGCTTGCAAATGTTACTTAACACAAGGCTGCAGTCCCAGGGGCTTCTCTGCAACCTGGTATAGGATGAAATGGGTAATCTCCAATGTAGATGGTGTTCAGTTACTACAGTAAGATTTACAGCCTCAGTTTCCCCACCTGTAAAAACATGGGTCTTACAAAAATGCTGGTAAGTATAGTCAGGCCACCAAAGAGAGCAGGGGCACCACAGAAACCTTCACTGTAAAAAAAAGGGAATTAGTCAGTGTCATCTCTGCATCATTTCTCTTTGTTTCCGCAGACAAGGTTCTGGTCCACTGCGCTATGGGTCGCAGCCGGTCAGCTACACTGGTATTGGCTTACCTGATGATTTACAAGAACATGACAGTAGTGGATGCCATTGAGCAAGTGTCAAGACACCGATGCATTCTGCCAAACCGGGGTTTCTTGAAGCAGCTGAGAGAACTGGACATAGCGTTGACACTGCAGAGGAGGAACACCAAAAACAGCCTACCATCTGATGATGATGAGAACAGCACCACGACCTAGTATTGCTGCTGGCAGGGTTGTGCTGGAAAAGAAACTCCATAAAAATTAACTGTAGTTAATTACAGTCACAAGAACCATTTGCTATTTGGAAGGAAAACCAAAGTAATTTCAAATACTGTCAGGATAAGAAAGAGAAGCCAAATTTTAAACCTATTTTTTTTAGAAAGTTTACGCCTTAGAAGAATTCTTTTGTTACATCAACAAATAAATTTTACCCTCGGTAAAAAAGTTTTCGCAGCACAAAAGCAGCACAACTTCAAAAAGACTCTCTTCTAGCTGAGTACTCCCCAAATCCTAGTCCTAACTTAAGCACATGGTCTTTAAAAGCATGGAGCAAGTCACGTCTGAAGAAATTTTGCAGGAAATACACCAACATGGTAGCACCAAAAATGAATTCTTTAGTCCCAAAGTCCTGTGAAGTATTTCACATGAGTCTGCCTTTTTGTGCTGTTTCCTGGCATCTCCATTTCTTTTTTCACAGTAATAATCTCGGGCAGCACAGCATTTAAAAGAGCCTCCAGATGAGGATCAACTACTTGGACTTCACAACAGACTTTGCAGCAGACCATGCAAACCAGAAGCAAAGCAAGACCCTTTAAAAGGTCAGACGCATAAGCAGCTACAACAGACAATTCAAGGAGATATGTACATGACATTTCAGCAGTTTCAGTTTTAACTTGGTTCTCCTAAATGCTTGAACTGCCTGAATTTTAAAGGTCCTACGCATACAGTATCCAACCGAACTTACAAGACCACCAAAAAAAAAAAAAAAAAAAAGACTGAGCAAATTATGTGTTGTGACTTGTTTTCCTACACTTGGAAAAAGCTAACAGAGCAATAAGCAAGAAAAATAGGATGGCCTTTACATTACAAAGAGAAAGCTCAACACTGAAAACGTGCAGCCCTAACATCCTGGTTTGGCCAAGACCTATCCATCCCTGAAGAATCATGGATTATAACCAGTTCCAAAAAAATTTTAGTTTTGATTAAAAACAGACACAGGTAAGGCCTGTGTCTATTTTTAGAAAAATATTTTTTTTTCTTAAAAAAAAAAATCTCAGTGCCCTGACTAACCAGGAGAAAGCTGCTGCTGCGCTTACAGACACCACGGTTTGTATTTACCACTACTGATAATGTTTCCTCCTATCTCAACTTCAGTAACCTTAATACATTGTTGTGCTCCAATACAGTTGCTAATAATTGTATTTGTTGACAGAAGCAGTCCAGATACACAAATAGGGACACTTGACTTAATTTTCTGCCTAAATTTATTCAAGTTATTCTATTTAAAACAAATTATCAATAACTGTGTTTTTATCAGTAATTGTGTTTTGACACACAGAGTTTTGCTACTTCAGCAACATCTGATATTCTTAAAATATACTGTAGAGGAGGATCACAATTGAGCCACATTTACCTTTTCTGCATCTGCAAAAAAAGGTAAGTTGTCACCCTTCCTACTGGAATTTTTCCTAATTACATGTATCAGGCAAGAGCCACATACGGCCTCAGCGCCTCAGATGAAGGATCAAGCCATCAAGAGCACTGGAGAGTTCTCTTTGCAAGCTGACAAAGACTTTGTGACTTCACTGCAGTATGGACTGCTTAAGTCCTGGATGCTTCAGTGGCACTGTGTTAAGTGAACATAATTTTAAACCGTTTTTTGTAGATGTTAATAGCTCTTTACAGGCTTAGCCTCTCTAGTGTGAAGGCTTTCCTATCCCTTCACTTCCTGTTGCGGCCCCAAACCCAGTGAAATGCTTTTGATTTATCATTTGAATTTATGTGTATAGTAATCACTTTATCTTCAAATTGTTAGACACAGCAGAACACATTAAATGCAACCAGCCTCTTAAAAAACAAATTAGACATCACAATGTGAACAGTATTCTTGAGAAAGATACACAAATTCTGAGACTTACAATAAATTAAGTATCACTACTCCTGGATTATGAAAAAACAAACAAACAAAAAAAACACAACACCAAAACCAAACACCCCCACCCCCCCCCCAAAAAAAACCACCAAAAAAAATCCCCCAACAACAATCCCTGTCATGTTCCCTCCCCCCCCACCCAAACAAACAAAAAAAAAATCACAATGAAAAAAACAACCAGAAATAAAAGGAAACTCAAAGAAGGTCAATTTGACACTTCAATTATAAATGAGCAGTCACAAAAAATGTTGTAAAGAGGCAAAAAAGATGGGATTCCTCAACTTTCCATCTACATCCACAGACCTTCAAACACACCTCTCCCACAGCACCTTACTGCCTGCTGCAATACAGTTCACAACCCAGACATGCAACAGTTCTCTCAGCTCTGTGTCTGATAAACCTGCCTTTCAGGCACATGGTCCCGCTCTTTCATTTACCCTGATGGAAAAAGCTGAACTTTTTCGCCTCGGCAGCAGTAGTGTATTTCTCAGCATTAGCCTCACAGACAGGAATTCTGTACCAAATAATACACAACAAGTATCTACCAGGATCTCCCTCAGTCAAGTTAAAGGTTATTTTCTTTCCTGTATCCTGCATGAGAGCTTGAAGACTGCTGTAACTGGAAGAGGGATTTTAGCCAATTTACATGCAGAACTGTATTCGAACAAGGTTTTCAGAGGCTTAGAGACGAGCGTTTCTTTTGCAACCACACTTTTGCAAATACACAGGAAAAATTTTAATTTCTGGGGTCCAGCTGCTTTTCGTAGAGACTGACAAGAGCTTTCACACAACAGCCTCCCAACTACTGATAGAAAGCAAAATGCTAGAACTCTTAAGTAGTTCCCACTCATTCTGTCCTGCATAGGAGATTAGGAAATCAGCACATGGCAACACTGACATAACGACAGAGGAATGCATCAACAATTTCCAAAGGACAGGACTGCAAGGAACTCAAACTAGGAGCTCCCTTTCTTGCACGGAGATCTAAAATAGGACAAAACTGGTTTCTTAATAAGTAAACTGATAAAAACCTGTATTCCCTTATTTCTGCACATACTACTTGAAGACCTTAAACATGGCTTAATTAAGCTTATTCTTATTTAGCAGATGGGGAGAAGCTAACAAGAATTTAAATTACTCAACTAAAATAAAGTCCAAACTGTAATCCTACTTTCTATCTTGTTATGAACTTCCTCCCTACGCCACAAGACTCAAAACAACAACTTTTGATCAATGCATAACCCATAGCTTCACTAGGGAAGAGCTGACCTATATGACTATATAGTTCATTAAAAAATGCTGGAAATACATAGTTTTAATACAAAGAAGTATTAAAGGTAAAGGGAAGAGAAGGAAAAAAAAAAAAAAGGAAGAAAAACAGAGTCGTAAGTCTTTACTACATTGGTCAGCTTGCAGTCTCTAGAGAACAGGCTGTACTAGCATCACCCTTACCACTACAGGCAATTGCCAGGGCCGTTTCATTTACCAAACTAAGTAAATGGAGCTTGTTTCCATCAACTAACCTGATAAACTAAAACAGCTTAGAAAACTAAAACATAGACAACGATCTAAGGGAGAAGTCTTGTATCTTTAGAAGTCCTGCTTCTGCTTGTATCACATGGCTTCTTATGAAGTTAGTAAAAACAACAACAACAACAAAAAAAAGAAAAAAAATCAATCACTGCTAGATCAGGTAGTCAGAGTGCACTAACACTTAACATTCCTGTCTTTGCAAAAGGGCTAAAGGGCAGCTTTCAGGAGTACTGCCATCCTGCAACTTCCAGATGAAGAAGGCTCATCTCCAAATGCAAGTACCTTCCCTGGCATCAGGTCTTGCCTGAATCACTCTGCTGGTACGGCTATGCTAACTGAGCAGTTCTGAAGTAAACATACTTCTTGTTGACTTCTCAGCTTTTCCCCCTACCATCCTTCCAGGACCAATTAGACTGAATCAGAAAAAGCAAAAGGCCTAGAACATGTAGCTTCCACAAAGGAGGCAACTCTTGCAGGTAGCTAACTACCTAACAAGTGTTGGCAGCGTTGCCTTCACCTACAAGCCAGGTCTGCAAGCAATGTTAGATGCAGAATGAGAGTTTATTTCATTCTTGCATGAAGTATTCTCTGCCAAACCAAAGAATAAGATTACATGGGCAGGGAAACCTTCTGCATTTCACAAGAATCATCTGTTGCTATGCTGTGAAGCATTCTTTTAAGACAATAAAGGAAAGAGTTAATTCTCAGCTGGAACGGTGCTAGAACACACAATCAAAACTGACACTGGGCACACAATAGGTAGAACAGGTACATCTGTCAAGGAAGAGACAGCTTCTTGTAAAATAGCCTTCTTATAAAAGTAATGCAATTCACAGCTAAATAGTCGCTACGGGAACAGCTGAAGTGAGAAGATATATCCTCTTGAAAGGAATTCAGTTCTGAAACAAAGAAGCCTTAGGAACTTGCCTGCTGTGCATGCAGACCAAGTACGTCATTGTCCACCCACCCTCTAATCCATATATTGCAAATACAAAATTTTAGCAATATGCTGGAGTCAGGATGCACTGTTTCAGGTCAGCACATACTGAAATGGTAAAAAGGTCTAACCTGCCTGTATGTGGCAGGCTTGGAAACCTGAAACTAACCAGGAGTGAGTAAAGATCCAGGTGTCTTTTTCACTCACTGTAAAAACCATACAAATGAAAAAAAAAAAAAATCACAAAATGCAGTGCTACTCTGAGACACAATCACTGACGAAGGGTACAAAGTCCTAGTTATACACACTTGAAGGCTGCACCTTAACTGTGGAGTTTAACTTACCTTTTCCTAAGCATAAAAAAAGGTGACAGTAGCTTTGTGAAGATGAACGCATATATAGTTTAAGTACTATGAATACTTTCTGCCTTCAAAAAGCAAATTTGACAGTGTAAGTGCATGAACAACATGTTTGTTGTACCGTGCTCTCCTTATCAACCATTCTCAACTCCTAAATCACAAGTTACTCCAAATTACCATTTGACCCACAATGGTAGGTCCCATTCAGATACACTACTTCTGACTGCTACCTCATCGTGCTAGAAATGAACAGGTTATTTGCATGAATCTGAAATGTCAATTTTTTGATTTGGCAACACCACATACTTCAAGGGTTTTATTTAAATACACATTTCTCTCACTTTCGAGCATATAAAGTATCACCTATAAAGCTGCTTTATGTACTGGAATGGGGACACGAGTTTTCAGCCGAGACAGCCAATCCTTTCCCCTTAGTTAGTAACCTTCCTGCAGTGGGCTAGAAGGGGGATTCAGTAGGAATGTTCACATGAGAAGCATTTTGAAAGTTTCTCACAGGGACTTTTTCCGGTGCAGGTTCACACACCCAATTTAACCTTGGTCCACTCATGAGCTCCACATACAGGCAACCTTATGATTTTTACAGACC